TGTCGAAATTTTTGCACAGGTTGGCACAATTCGCCAGTTTTCACACTATTTCGCGCTAGTCCTACTTCGGTTGCCGGGGCGACCGATGGCCGAACTGCTTCGCATCAACTCTTACTTTGAGGCGACAACTGGGAATGATACATGCGACGAGAAAAGAGCACATACACGCACTGACAAGAGGATAGAGTACCCTCTTCTCTACTCAAAGTCGCCATGACAACACGGCCAAGTTGGTGTGACCAAACAAAAAGGCTACATCATCTTGATCCTTTCACCCTTCGACCGACAGGTGAAGAAGATAAATAGATGAATTTGTGTGTGTGTGCGTGTGTGTGTATGTCGTAGTGTGAACTGCCATTGGGATTTGGCCACTTCTGGTCGGACGAGGCTGGCTTCAAGACCCAACTTGGCCCGCCGAAGAGGTTGAGTCTGTACACAACCTTTTCAGTTGCCGACGCCCGCCCTCTTGGTCCGGCGGATTGTGTACACTCTCGGCGTCGTGTCTCTCCGAATCCCGCCTCGACGGGGCTGTCGGTGCTTTCGGCCGGTTTCGCGAGACAGTCGCAACATTCACACGCAACTGGACACGCAGAGAAAGCTACCGAAGCAGCCGGTGTAGGGGGCCGGACTCGAGCTAACACCCCTCCCTCTTTTGGGAAGGTTGTGTGTGTGCCGACGTGTGCATCATGAAGGTGCAGACGTATAGTCGTGTGAATGTGTGCACGTCGGTGGCAAAAGTCGAAGAGGTGGAAACCTTTTTTCGTAAAAGTTGGCTGCGCTTCTGTATGCATTTCGATTGTGTAGGCGCTGATGTGTGCACGTCGGTGTGTAGTTGAGTACCGAAGTTGCGTGTACATTACGATTGTGTACACGCTGATGTGTGCAAGTGTGTGCACGTCGGTGTGTAATTGAGTAGATGAGTGTGTTTGTGTATGTGTGTGTGTGTGTGTAATTTCAGTGAGAGTCGAAGAGACAGGGGATTGGACCGAGGTGGGTGTGGCAAGATGTAGGAAATTCTGTCGAGAATTGGCTGCGGCCATTGTGGTCCATTTTGGTGTGCAACTGTGTGTCCACAAGCATACACACACAAACAGACGACGAACGGCAGATTCTTGGGGAGCCCTCGCAACGTGGCCACTTAATGCAAGCGGACCACCGGCCACAGACAAATTGAGCACACTTTGAGTCCGTGACTGCGTGGCCGAGCCAACCTGACGACCGTGACAAGGCGGGAAAGTGTGTGTGTGTGTGTGTGTGTGTG